GGACAATTTCCTGCCTCGTTCTATTTTTATTGTGTTTTTTTTGGATTTTGTTTGATCTGGTTTGTCAAATTTAAAAAATTTTTCCTGTGTTTCAAAAGGATTTTGGTTTTGTCTAAGTTTTCAGTATATTTTAGGTGATTTATACTAGAGTATTGTTGGTATAGGTAGAAAAGTTAAGTTTTGAAAAAAAACTGACTGGATCACCTGTTGGACAAGAGCCTCGGCCTTGCCTCTTTTCGTTTTTTTTTAGATGACTAGACAACTTCAGGAAGAAAAAGCAAAGCATAATTAACATCATCTTAAGTTTTATTTTTTGACAATCTGTTATAGGAATCAATATCATCAATAGAAACGATTCCCATGTTTCACACAGACAACTTAATGGAATAAAAAACGTTTACAATCCTTTGTTTTTATCAAGTCTTAAATTCATTATAATCCATTAAATTGGATTTTCCCACTTTTTTGTTTCGCGACGTGCAACATTTTGCAAATACTTCTGCATTTAACAAATAACTAATGCAAAAGTTTCGCAAAGCGAGTGTATAGCCTACTCGATTTCCGAACATAAACTTCCTCAAATTGCAAAACGATTCCGTTAATCTCCCCAACTGTCGCAACAGCCTCTTCCCCTAGTGTTTGCCCCTTTGCCCCTCTAAAATAACCCTCACATCAACATTTCCCCTATGCCCCCCACACTCACCTGAGCCAACCCCCTTATTTGACCAACTGAACCAATTGAACCACCCCCTTCCTTCACTTGAACCACCCCCTCCCTCCATCTGAACCACCCGAAACCATCCACACCTGAGCCACCCAACCACCCCCACACCACCTGGACCACCCGTTCCCTGACCTGAACATCCCCCACCTGAAATAAACCCCACTCCTACCTGCCTGAACTAACCCCCCCCCCAACCTGAACCATCCCTCCCCCTAACTAAAAACTAAACCAACCCCATCACCAGAACCATCCCCCCTCTCCCTCCTGATTTGGCCAGGGAGCTCCTTCAGGTTTTTTTGCTATTTTTTTGAAAAGCCGGTCAAAAATGCTTTATGTGAAGATTTGGACAAAAAAACGCCTGTTTTCGGCATGCCATACTTTGCAAAACAGTCTTTTTACAAATTTACCCCGCTCCCCTCCTAATTTTGAACAATCTTAAAAAAATGTAAACTGTTGAATGGAACAAAATTGAGAAATGGATTAACATTTTTTAAAAAATAACACAAAATAAAAGTTGCGCAACACAAACTTGAAAATGAACAACAACTTTACTGTAAAACATAGAGAACAGAAAACGATTTAAGTTAAAATCTGTATCTCAATGAAGAGCAGAAAAGTCTATCAGATTGAAGTTTCATTATCTTTATCTGTAAAATTGAATACTTATCTATTACAAATCATTTGCAAGGGTTTTTGTCGATATCTGTTTTTGTCTTTATCTGTAAAATTGAATACTTACATATTAAAAATCATTTGCAAAATCTTCTTTCACATTTATACACACTCAAAAAAACTTAAACATAATCAATTTTTACCCATGGGTCTCCAGTGCGAGTGGGAACAATTTCAAGACGTTTGTTGCAGATCCAAAAACAACAATTTCACGTTTTCATTTTTTTCTGAGAAAAAATTTTTAATAATCACCTGGTAAATAATTTTCCAGACCAGACAAATTTTTCACTTAGATACGATTAAACATGCAAATTAAAAATTTTAACTGAATTTTTTCAAATATTCTCAAATTTTTTTAAATATTTTTGAAAGATTATTGAAATATTTTATTATTCTTGGTTATTTAAAGAAAAACACACTTGCTAGATGTTATTGAATTCAAAAAAAAATATCCGCAAAAATCACTGTATATCAGAGTATGGGCAAAAACCTAAATGACAAATCAAGAAGAGGGACACAAAATATCAAATCTTGAACTCAAATGTTTACAATGACATCATCGAAATATTTCATTATAAATCATATTTTGAGATCAAAATATGCAAGGAAACCATAAAATGTTATCGATATCTTAAAACAAATTTAGTCTTTTTTAATGCTACCATACGCTATGTGATAAATCATGGGCAGTGATTAAAAGCAACACCAACTCAAAACTAATGAAAGTCGAATTGAGAAAACGACCTAGATTGATTTAAATTGGTTTTAATTCCCCTAAAATCTAAAGCAATTTAAGACAGATTTAAATCGATACAAAATTGATATGGATGGATTTTTGTCACTGGGATTTAAGATCAACTCAATTCGATTTTGAAATCATCCACATCAATCTTGACATTTTCTATTTAACTTTTGTAAGTTTTTCATACTAAACTCTATCTCAATTAAATCTTCTATAATCAACCAGATTCCATTTTTGTCGGTGCAGGCACCTCTATTTGAATCTTATTTTTTTCCAGTTTGATTTTTTGCACCTCAAAAACAGTAAAGCTTGCGATAATTTTTTTCCACAAAAGATTCGTGTCAAGTTTTTTTTAGAACTTTCTTTCTGAAATTTTGCAGTACAAGTTCAAGCTATTTTTTATGAAATGTAAACGGATTCTGCAACAAGAAGGATATCTTTCTTCTTTTTTTGTTCGTTCATTCGCTTTGATCGTTCCGACAATAACAAACAAGTTTAAAGAGGGCTCTTTTCATGGGCGAAGGACCGAATAGGTGACAACCTCATGGGCAAAAGTCCGAAAACAAAAAACTCGAATTCAAATATTAAACGAACCAATTACCGTTCAACTAAAAGAAATTCAACCAAACAATATTTTGCTTCTTTTATACCGAACCCTTGAAATACAAAATATGTTCCAATTGCCGGTGGTCAGTGACAATTTGAAAATGTTGCATTTTTTGATGTTTTTAAATTTGGCCAATAATAAAGTTAAGTCCCTGGAAAACTTTACATTCTTTAAGAGTCTCACGCTTTCTTTCCAAATTTTGGAACAATGAAATGTGATTGGCTGATTTTCATTTTCGCCCGTTCGGTTCTTCACCTAGAAGGTATTTAAAGACTTGTTTGTCTCTGAATTCCAGAGGCCTACAAACACCAAATTATGAGCCCATCCAGTAACAAAAGACCCTATCCTAAAACGTTCTCACATTTTTCATTCAGATGATCGCGTGCATATAAAAGTCAACATGGGCAATGGTCTTCATCTCAAGAAAGATAACAATTTAAAGCTCAAAACAAGTCAACATATTCGGGCAAAGCCATTATGTAAAGGCTAAAAATAAACGTAGATTGATTAAAATTAGAAACAATTTTTTCTCTTCCGCTGATCATTACACAAACAAATCTCGAGATTTGAATTATCCACACGACATTGTTTCTATTTGATCAAATTTTCTAGCTGCGAAAATTCCCTGCGCTGGATTGGCCTCGTATCAAATTTTTTATGTGGTGGACAGCAGACGCGAACCATTCTCTCCTCCATCAATCTCTAAGACTTGGCAGGTTTACTTGTCAATGAATTTCACCGAAATTCTATGAAGCAAAAGAAAAAAATCGGATAGTAAAAATTTTCCGGATCAGTGTAGTGTCCAGCTAGGTACAAGTGAGATAGAGGACTCCCAATTTACATTATTTCGAGTCAAACACCGCAATTAACTAAATTAAAACGCGCCAGTCGATGGTTTGAAAACTTTTTCGCAAAATTTATTACCCTTCTTCATTTGCGATACTTTGAATTGCAAACTTATTCGATACTTTAATTGACATCACCAAAGCACTAAGTTGAATAATTTTTAGGCACTCTCTTTTTATTAGGGATCCGCTAAGTTTCTTTGGACCCCTCTATCAAAGTACTTAGTACCTCTAGCTATAAGTCTTGAGTTTAGAATATCAAATCGACATTGATTAATCCCGGTAAATTAAAATATAAAATTTTTTTTTAGAAAACCTTTAAAACTTATTGAGCACTCAATATAAACATGCGAATCAACAGTTAGCATGAAGGTCACCTGGTGATTGGCAGATTGATGAATGTACGCTAAAGACAGTGCCTGGATAACCAATTACCTTTTTGTCAGCATAGTTTGATGTGTCTCCCAATTTCTGATGTCGATTTTGATCAATACGCCCTGATTGTAAAAATTGATCAATTCGTCGTTATCTAGTGGAACTCATCGACCACTTCTGTCACTGAAATTTTACTTTACTCGGAAGTCTTCCCTATTTTTTAAACAATATTTTTTGTTTTAGTAGGACTCGTCTCAGTCGAAGCACCTAAGCCAGCCGCAGTTGTCTAACTAGCAAAACTAAAACAAATTGAAAAACAGATGTGACTAATTTCATCATCAAAATTAAAATACGGATCATAAATTATTTGCGACAGAAAACGCTGTGTGACAGAGACAATTCAAAAGTAGACATCTTATCTGAGCAGTTTTTCACGGTTCGCTAGAAGATTTTTCTTGGCTTGCAGATCTGGATTTTTTTTGGAAGTCAATCGGATCTTGAATGATTTCACGTTGTCATTATCAAATGGATACCATGATTTCTCCTTTTTCATACACTCCTTTGTTGCATGTCATTTTTCAGAAAGAAAATTGCGGGCCGAAAATATCATTTCAGACGTTTTGTCCTGGAATTGTTGAACAAACTACCGCGGTGTTCCAGCGCTAGCTCCAGAAAAAAAGAATTTAGATAGTTAAAAATCTCGGCTTGGTCGACCAAAATCAGCAGCGTGAAGTTCGGGTGCTGAGGGGGTCAACCTTCAGGATTGGTAAGAGCATGATTCAGACTGTCTTTGGACAGTTCTTGCTTTTTAAAAAAGTGTTGGAGTGGATGGGCTATGATTTTTTTCAGACCGTCTTTCGAAAAAAAAGCAAACCAATTTTGACGAAGATTTTATCTGAACATCACTTCTTATTTAATAAATGAACTGAATAAATTTTAATAATATAGGCGCCTTATGAATGGCCATTAAGAACTTTGTCCGAGTATGCGGATGTTGTTTTTTTGTACATAAACACTTGAGAGCAAATATGTTGCTCCTGAAAGGATTCATAAAAACATGGCAATGCAATTTACTCGCTCCTTGCTTTTTTCTTGTATAACTCTCAAAATACAACACATTTACAAAGAAGTTTAAAGAAAAAATCCCCCCTCCCCTTTTTTCGACAAAATCGACTAGTCCGTCCCTGAATCATACAATTGTTTTTTTTATTCCATCATTCAATTTTTTTTCGGTTTGATTTCTCATTTTAACTAGAGACACTATTATGAAGGAGATGGGAAAGTTTGGCTTGAAAGTTTTTCTTATCATTTTATTCCTCGTGTCGATCTCTAAACTTCTCGATTTGACCGGTAAAACGGATAGTGTATCCCAATTTCAAGACCAGCTCTCTAGAACTCGAATGTTGTTGAATTTTCATTCAGAAATAGAAACAAAAGAGGAAAAACCGATTTGCGGTGATTGGAAGGAATCGAAAAATATTTGGATTTTGGAAACAAAATATCCCTGGGCGCGAAGCCGGAACTTGTGCACAGTAGAAAGCGTTGCAAGGCAGATGCCAGAATACTGCGTTCGGTAAGCTCCAGTTTTGTTTCTTTGGTTCAATTAAGGTTCTCTATTAAACTCTTTGGATTCTTTTAACTATCTCCCCTTTAGTAGTTAGTCACGAAATCCCTCCTCAATGAAATAGTTTAACGGTTAAGAAGATGCGAACTTTGTATGCAAAGACGAAACATACCCCCCCCCCCCTGCAACGAGTTGGGGAATAATGAAAGCGAACCAATTCTATAAACAACCAATTGGGGTTTTTCAATAAACAACCAATTAGGGTTTTTCTATAAACAACCAATTCTTTAAACAACCAAATTCCAAGCTGCGTACTTATTTGTAAAAAAAAGTCCCTTTGCAACGCAATAAAATTGACGCTTATGTCAGGTGAGGGAAAATGAAGAAAGCCAGCATTTTCAAAAAATAATTGCACAACCGTAGTCCCAACACAAAAAGAAAAAAGACGCCATTTTACTCAGACTAAGCAAAACTAACTTTGAAGTTTTCATGTGAAACCAGAATTGTTATTTTTTTGTTTTAAGATAAAATTTAAACCTAATTTTTTTAAAATAAGGATTTAAACCTGAATCTGCAATTTTCAACCTTCGATTTATTTTAAACAAAGACTTAAATATAGCCATATACAACAAAAATTGTTTTTTTTTTTCATATTACAGTGTGGAGTTCAAAAGTTAAACTCGCTTGGTACAACTCATAATGTAGTTTGAACTGCGATAGTAATTATCTTTAGCCTTTAGTTTTTCTCACTTTAGGGTATTTTGGTTTTTGTGTATTAGAGCAAAAGGGAAAATGCTTTTCATAAACTTCCGTTCTTAAAAAAAGCTAGTCAAACATATCTTTAAAGGAGAGAATCAAAAATATTAATCCAATATTTTCATAAGATCTTTTTTCGTCTATGGAATTGCATCGAATTTTACCATAAGTTTACAAATTAAATTTGTATGACTTCCATTTTCATCAACCCAAGTAGAAAAAAATATCTTTTTTTCCAATTTTCTGTCCAATAGTAAAATGCAATATGCCGTTTTAAAAAAATGCTTATACGACTATTTGCTCAGTGGTCATAGGATATTATTCTCTAGAAATTTTAATAGGAAGGATATAATTTTCTGGGACTCATACGATAAAGACTCATAACTTGCAGCTTATAAGTAACTTCTGCAGAAAATGCTTCAATTTCCGCGCAAAACTGCCGCGTTTTAATCAAGCTAGAAATGTTTTCCAGAAATCTCAAATTTTTTATACTATATTGGTAATATAAACATGACCCTTCAGCGCGTTTTTTGAGATCTCTTGAAATAGATTTGTAACTCAAAACAAACGCTATGTTATCGAGGAATTTTTTCAAGTTTGAGCTTGTTTCTGAAAAACAGTTTCGTTTAAATACTAGTTTCTTTAAAAAAAGTTTCTGCGTGAAAAAAGTTTCCATTTTTTCTTCTTTCCCTTATACTTATAAGCATTTTAAAAATCATAATTGATAGCTCAGTCTGGTAGTTACGAAATTTTTATGACAGGCATAAAATGTCATCACGTTTAACTCACAAACTATTCATAACATCACAAAAATTATTCTAATGTGAACTGAATAAAAAACGTTGCATCAAAAAATACTGAAAATGGTTCACAAAAACGGAAATAAAAACGGGGTTCAAAAATGACTTGGTTAAAATTACAGACTTTTTTGGCTCTCATTATGGTACCAAAATTTGATCTGCTGGTGCAATATGGTGGAAAGGAGAAAAAGAACTATTAAAATCCAGGAAAGCTAAATCAGTAGCGCTTTTAGATGTCGTTACCTTCGGATCCAGTCTAAATGAGGTCCAGGGTTATCAAATTAGTGAAATATAGTGCTTTAGGACACCATCAATGTTTTGCCCACTCTTGCTAAAATCGAGTTAGCAAATACAATTTCAGGTCTCAGATTACCTAAAACAGACAATTGTTTTTAAAAGACTTATTTGATACCAGTAAGGTGTTAGCTTTTGGTGAACATCTTGTTTAGATCAACTGCTTTTTTGCACTTCCCTCAAGAACTTAAAATATTAGTTTTTTGAGTTGTTGAATGTAATTTTTTGGCTAAATGATGTTAAGATGAGAATATATGCGGAAAAAATTAATCGCGCTAGTTACTTTGTACACCATGCTAATTTTTATTGCCATATGATCGTTGCAATTGTTCAAAAAAGAATATCAGGGGGGGGGGAGATAAGAGGTTGTTGTAAAAGAGCGGGTCAACTCTCGAATACGTCTGCTTTAACATGAAAATGATGAAGAGTAAAATAAAGTTAAGAGGTTAAATCAGTGCATTAATGAAAAATACTATCAACTCATCTGAAACAAATCTCTGCTGCGTTCTTCAGTTCCAATGAACAAATTGGCTGCGCCACACCCGTGTTGACCTCCATAAACTGAAAATGTTTATCTTACAATTCCCTGCATCGAAAAACGCTTATAATACAATCCCATACATTTAATCTATGGAAAAATGATAGCCATACAATTTTCATAAATTGTCAAAAATCATTGAAAAAAGATTCGAAATGGTTTCCGTGGCTATTTGAACAAAATAAAACAGTCTGGTGATGAAAAGAAAACTATTTTTACAGTTTTTTGGAACAAAATGGTTATCATACAAAATCCGTATATAAAATTTGTAACTGAAACTGCCCCTAATTTTTTTTGTTTCTTTTTTTTTCAACCGCATTTTAAAAAAATCAACTATTTTGTTTATGAAAAAATGCTTGTTCTACAACTTCCGTATATGAAAAAAAGCTTATCTTAGAGTTTTCTTAACATTTTCTGTGTCTATGTATTGTACAAAACTGTATGATAAGCATTTTTTTAAATGAAAATTATACGACAAGCATTTTTGGTCAACCCGGGCACGCACTTTGATATTATATGGGATAGTTGTAAATAGTTTCGATCGCTACATTACATATTTTAAGTCTCTTAAGATTAATTAGAACAAAAAGCGCATATGTCGTTTGCTATGAAACTTTCAGCAACATTTGCTGTCTTTAAAACTTAGGTGGTTTTTTGCTTATCGTCTACAAGCTGACAGGTTTTTTTTTCATCCAAAAAAACCTCAATAAATTTTTACCTCTGCCCATGTTCATTTGTACAGGAGATCGGTTCGAGTGTTGAAAACAATTGAAAAATGAAAAAAACTGAATATCAATAAAAAAATTATAGCTTTCACCAATAAATATTTTGCCAATTACTTTGGTTTTCTTACGAGTGAATCATAGCTAAACCCAAAAAATTAAAATGTTGGATAAAAATCCGGGTTCATTTTAAACAGCCAATACCCGTCAGACAATGTCAAAATATCTATCTTCGAGATCAATTAGTGTTATTTCTGATTAGATCTTACTTTGAGAAGTTAAAACAAAACAAGGATAAAGGGTGACTGTCCAAGTAGCACAGAATGTTCCAACAAGTCTTTAAAAAACTACAACAAAATTGTGTTTTCTTTTTTCAAATTAGTGTCGTTTTTTTCGGCGTGGTGTGGCAAAGGAACATGAGTAAAAGAATAAAACTTAGGCATATTCGTCAGTCATTCTAAAAAATGTAAATCGGAAACCAATTTTTGAAGACAAGTATTAAGAAAAACAACAAAAGCTAAAATCTCCAAAAGCTAACTTTATTTGAGTAAAACTTTTTTTGGGGGGGGGGGGCTTAAATTTAGCATCCAAAAGCTAATATAAGACAGTTCACTCGCTGGACATTAGACGGAAAATCAAAATTTTTTAAAATGGTTTTTCTCGTTACTGGAATCAAACCTCGAATCACGACTGAAAGGGCTTTAAAATGACATATCAATCAACCCAACCTTATGATGATTTGTGGTATCTGCTTTGCGTGAAAGAGACTAAAACACACCCTAAGAAAAAGCTTCTCCCCTCTTTCAAAGAACAGAACAAAAAGAAACTTCTAAGCCAGAAAAATTGAACGCGCGCAGATAAGTAGCTGCCTTAGTTAACTGATGCACAGTTGCCTAGCGTGTCTGCTTTTCGTTTTAATGAATATACCTTCCACAATAGCTCGTGTTTTGGTACAGTTTTTTTGCACGCTTATTGTTACGACTATCGTAACGAAAGTAACGGAATATTTATAGTCGTTTTTTTTCAGACAAACTTCGACTTTTTGACTCGTCAATTTTGACAGAAAGTTATCTACATCTTTTGAAAAGTATTGCTGTATTGAGATTAAACTTGAAAAGACAATTAACGTGCGATTTATTTCGCGCTAATAACGCGTAAGTGGATATTTAATTCGTCTCTCCAATCCGAAATCGGAGCCGTTCCCAATTGATCGAGGGAAGCTTATTTATCATAATTGACTTGATACTAGGAGTTAAACCTATCACTTTGTACTTAATATTGAGGGTGGGGGATGCTCTTCACAAAAAATCTCAAATTTAAAAAAAATAAGTTCTAATTTTTACATTTAAAAACTTCATGTTGTTAATGCTCCGTAGACATTAAAAGGCAGTCGGAACATTCAGTTTCGCCCTGATACGAGCAGTCTAGGTAACTTTATATCATCATGTATTTTCCGTTTTGGAACATTTTTGGACCCTAACGGAAGAAGGACCTGAATGAGTTTTCGAACAAGTCGGTTGAACTGTCAAGGCGTATTTGCAGAGAGCAGAGCAATTCTTTGCCATTTTTAGGAATTATGACACTGTGCTATGGGATAATACGGGGGGAGGGGGTATCGAGATCGATCCAAACAAAACTTCGAATGGTTGATTCAAAGTTTTTGCTGAGGCAGCACATATTCTCACAATACTTCAATGTAACAGATGAAATTTGCGAATATAACGTAAAGGGTTTGCGTTTTTTGATGTAACCGTTGGTTAACCGAGCGGTTTTTTTAGATAAGTAGCTCAAAACCGTTCAAATCTTGTGCGGTTTTTGAGCCGTTTTTTGTTAGATAAACCGTTTAAAAACCGCTCAAACCGCTGATTTTGAAGCAAGATTTTGAGCGTAATTGTCTCAAAAAACCGCTCAAACCACTCAAATCTTGCTTCAAATTAGGTGAAAAATCTCGACTCGGGTTGCAACCGGCAGAAAATTGCCGAAAGCTCTCCCGCAAAAAAGTTCATTTGGATTACTGTTGAGAATGAGTTCTGAATAATTTGTATGGCTATTACAAGAGACATAATGACAGAATAAAACTTTTTCGGATCTCCGTTCAATCCTTTCGAGCAAATCACCTTGTATGGTGCTGCTGGGTATTTATGTTTTCACTATTGAACTTGAGTTCAACAAGAGCTGTAGTGAGTTTATTCAAAACCCGCACTCGCATTATAAGTTTCTTCAATTGTTTCTTCAAACGAGACAGTTCTTCAATTGTTTAAATTTGAAGTTCAATCTCAAGCCTAGCAAAAACATCTCCACTCCCAAGATATTGCAAAATTATCAAGCGTTCATAGACAAACAAGATCGTTGTGGATGGCTCCTAAATTTAAATACGAAAGTATGAAGCCTAATTGTACGACCATTAAAATTTCAAAAAAAAAACGCTAGTTACCATTTCGCCCCAATAGAATATACACTGACTTTTTATCAACCAAAAGGATGTAACGGAGAAACTTGAGCAAACGTCGGCTTTTTATTTTTGACGTTTTACATTACAGTAATAGCTTTGTGTTAAATCTCCGTTTTATTTTTGTATTAATTTGTCAAATTAATTGACTCAAAATGAGTGCAGTGATTTCCAGCCTGCTGAAGCTGTTTTACATGCCATCCGACTCGAAAAAAAACTTTGATATTCTGTTTTTGATTTATTCAAAAAAAACACCAAATGTACTTGATGCACAAAAAACTGTAGATTGATGCACTATTACACTGATTGTTATAGGTTGCTGACGCTGTTCTATGTGCCAACCGACCCTAAAAACTTCTTTGGGAGATATCTAGAAAATGAGTTCGAAAATGTTCGTCTGGCTCGGCTACAAGCAAATATGATTCTGGAATCAACCCCTTTCGAGAACTTCTTGAACGAAACATTTGATGAAAACCAACAGCCGAGGCACCAGTTAGTAAAGGACAAAAAGAAAAGCTCCCTTCTATAAATAGTAGCAAAAAGTTGAAATAGACAGAAAAACTAAAAAGAGCAATCTGCCAATTTTGAGTTTTTTGCATGCAACATTGAGTTTTTAGGTGACTTTGAGTAAAACTTTCTGTCTGAAAAATTAGCTTTTGCATGCAAAAGCTTTCTGAAATAAATCATTTGTTTTTAAAATTAATTCTGTCCCGCACCGGAGTTCCGATAATTATAAAAAATCGATTATAATGGAAAATTGTTGTCCAAACTATTGTCATTATAATTTTTTATTGTGGCAAATTTAGACCACTAAATCGATTATATTGTCATTATAATCAATTACTTTCGTAAAAACACAATCCATTAAAATCCATTGTAATGAATTATAATTCATTTAAAATCTATTATAATGGATTATAATCCATTTGAAACCCATTATAATTGATTATACCGGATTATAATCTATATATTTTGGAGGGGGGGTGTAAATCATAAACCCCATCCCCCAAAGTCTACCAATAAAAAACCCTCATAAAGGGGGCGAATAGCGGTTGTGGTAAACTGGCAGGGAGGTGGGGGGTAATAAGGGGGGTTAAACGGGGCGGGGTAAACAGGAGTAGGGGGGAAACGGGATATATTATAACAAAATACTAAGAATTATAAAAATGAAAATTATAAAATTATTAAAATTATTTGGGGATAAACAAAAACTATAAAAATTGAAAACAGAAATGTAACATTTTATGAAACCTAATACGTAGCAACTGCACGAAGCAGGAATGCGACAACTTTGAAAAAAAGTTGTAAATTTTATGACTAATCTATCGAAAAAATCCATTATAATTGATTATAACCGATTATAAGGGATTAAATTGGCATAAAAGTGTAAGAAACATAATCCATTTCAATGGATTATAATCGATTATAATTGATTATAATGGAATATAATGATATAAAAAATAATGGATTACAACCCTTTTTTGATGGATTATAATCAATTATTTTTGTAATTTTAGAGATATTGACTAAAAAGTGACAATATATTCGATTTTTATCCATGGAACTCCAGAGCGGGGTCCGTTCAAAGTTATATAAGTTCTTTTCCTTAGAAGGTCAATTCCAAAACGCATACACAAAATTCCGCAACTTTCTTCAAAAAATTCGATTAAAAAGACATAGCTCGTATCAGGGCGAAATTTTGAAAGTTCGGACTGCTGTCTAACGCAATGAATTTGTTGTTTGATAGGATGAAAACATAGAAAAAGAAAATTTTATGAGGTTTTCGTAATGCAAATTGTGCAAATATTTTTCCAGATTTGAAATGTGAATTGAGGATTTAAGGATTTCAGGTTTTAGGCTGTGCAATCATATCTTATATCATTTTTCAACCACAAGTTTAATTAGATCACAGTTTAATTTTATTGAAAAACACATCCGGTTTTCCCGAAAAACGCTAAAATTACAAACTTCATATTTAGGAAAAAAACGATTCAAATTTTTTTCATGCAGTTATATAATTACAGAAATTTGTAGGAAAAGTTTCTCGTTAGTAACTTCTCTTTATGTAAGCTTTACGACAAGCTTTTATCCAGAAATAAAAAATGTGCTTTTTTTCGTTATTTCGTAATATAATTGTCTTACTCAAACAGTTTAATGAAAATATCAGACTTGTAAAGTGAGGCAAAGTTTCCACGGGTACCAGTTTTCCAAACTAATCTCGCCTAATTGTTCTTGCATTGCCCAGTACAAAATAAACATGCAATACAGAATGAAAAGATTTTTTTTGAGTTTTTTTCAAAAAATTTTCAGAAAATAAGAAACTAAATTAACCGCTGGTTTATTCAGGACTACGTTATACGCAAAAAAAATTGCATTGGAAAATTGGTTTTGCGCTCAAAAAGTTGGAAAACAATTGGAGCAATTTCAAAATTACTTATTTTGGTGCTGCCACCAACAAAATGATAGTGATTTCCATTCTTACCACAAAAAAAAACTTTTTTTTGTTAAGAGAATACATCGAATTTCATGCCAGAACAAGAAAAAATTCTAAAAAAAATGGATCACACCATTTTAGCAAAATTTTTGAAATTTGCTGACTAGAATTCTTTTGTGGGCTTAGTCTATGCATTTTATTGGTAGCATTTTTGCCATGGAGATTATTCTGGGTGCTTGATATCTATCAAACCGCTACAACAGAAAAAACAATTCTGAATAAAAAGCACGCACTCAAAAAAATTATAAAATTCAACCCTGGTTTCCTTTTTTGTCTCATGCAGAATTAGCCAACAGACTCAATTTAATTGGTTATTTTAAGGCATAGCGTTGTTCATCTAAGCGATGCTCTTCGAATAACCCTTGTGTACAAGTATGGAGGAATCTACATCGACAGTGACATCTGGGCCAAAAAACGAATAGATCTGGCTCCGAACTACCTAGCCAGAGCAAGTGGAGCAGGAATGCTTAGTGAGTTTACTTTCTTTATTTAAAAAATAAGCGCTGCAATGTTCCTAGAAAAAGCACCCAACTCTTCCTCACATCGGAACTTGATATTAAAAGTTTACTATTTAGAAATTGTCAGAATGTTTTAAGTTTTGGATGGGAACAATCTTAGTTCTGTGAGCAAACTTGATGTTCATGTTTTGTATCGTTATGTCATGCATTTGGCCATAATATAAGACAAAGAATGGAAGAAATGTTTGTGGATACGAGGCAAAACAAAGAAATCATTTTCTAGAAAACTTAAACAAAATTCAAAAGAAACGAACATTTTCTCTTCACATTTATTCGTCGATGACAACTTGATAAAGCTTCAAAAGCTGAAAAAAATTACAGAATCAAGAATAAAAAAAGTACAACTGATGCAGACAAAAAGCCAGAGTTTAAGAAGCAGTCAATCACTCAGCTGAACTGCTTTAGGAGTTTTGCCTTGGAACTTAATGCTACGATTTTCACACAGAGTTATAAATACAAAAATTATTATGGCGTATAATTCGTATATGGCTGGAACCCGCATCATTAATTTATGGATAATAATCCATGGAGATGGATTTTTGTTTACTAAAATGTAGTCCATGTGATCGATTATCATGGCAAATTTGGGCAACGTAATGGAGTTTTATTGCATTTTAATCGATACTTTTCGAAAAAATAAATCCATTATAATCCATTATAGTCGATTATCATCCATTTTTGGTTTCAAAATAATGGATTATTTTTTGTACATTAAATCCATGAAAATTATTAAATTTTGTAAATAATGACTCTACTTTTTGCAAGTTTCTGCAAAACTCGAACGAACACGTTAATTTAGGGGCGGCAAATATGTAGTAATTCCCCCTCCCACCATCCCCCATCTCCCCTTCCTTTGCCGCATTTAAGCCCAAACCAGCTTCCTCCCCACGCGTTTACCACACACCCACTAAACACTAAACACCCCCACCGGGGCAGGTAACTATGTATTACAGGTAACATGGGGGTTGGGGTGTGGTAAACGCGTGGGGAGGTTTGAGTTTAAACGCGGATTTGGCAAAACGCTGAACAAAACTCAAATAAAATAATAACAAAAATATGTGAATTTTTATAATTTTTCAAAAACGCAGTTAAAAAATTGAAATTTAGCGAGAGAACAAAATAACTTACTTAAGTTTAACATTATTTTGAAAAAATGAAAACATCACACCGAAAAATTTTAATTAAATGGATTATAACCCATTATAATTGACTAAAATTGATGTTTTTCTTTTGATAAAATTTAATGAAACTAAGTTGAAAATAATATATTACAACCTATTATATTGGGATTTTTTTGCTTCGAAAAAAGTATCTTTATAATCCATTTTTAATTAATTAGGACCGAATTTTTTAGTTTATAGAGACCGACGATGAAAAACCGATATAGTTGATTATTTTCCCTGAAACTTCAGTGCGGGAAAGCTACAACTTTCAAAAAATCAGTGGTTGAAAATTGTGGGCTTTCTTACACGTTTAGTTTACTGTCAACTTAAAACAAACAAAAGAATAATTGTGGGATAAAATGGTATGCTGATCGTAAAAATTGGAACAAATCAGTCATCCATGAAAATTACATCAAACTTTTTTTTTAACGCTAGCCAAACAACTTTTTGAAGATCTAAAAGTTTTTGATCAACCAGTTTCTTAAACTCAAATAAACTGAGCTTGCAAAAACAAAAATAATTTCTGAATTGTTGAATTTTTCTTGAAAATTGTTATTATATGAATTTTCTAACTAAAAATAATACGATCTTTTATTTTTTTTTTGATGCCGGGAAAATTTGAAAATCAACGAATAGAAAAAAAATTTTTGATGATAAATTTTCAAAAATGTTTCCAAAAATTGTATGAAAATAGTATGATACGATTTTTAACTTAGACTTTATTTTAGACGAGTTTTATTTTTGTTTAAGGCAACGCTGTCATAAAAACGGAGAAAGCAGGATCTCCAATATTGAAGTCAATAATAGAAGAAGGTCGTAAAGGCTATCAGATAAACAACTACGCTGTTTTGATGCAAATACTCAGTATGCGCATGACAGAGTACTTCAAAAGCAAGAACCACAGCATGCCAGAAATGTCCGATATAGCTGGGAGAATTGATGATATCGGCGAATGGAAAATTTTTGGTAAGATACTTTTCTTTTAGCCCGCATCCAAGTATAGGCTTGAGTTATTTCGATTATATGGGGATTTTATAAAGATTTTGTGACGATTTTATTTGATGGAAATTACCAACTTTAGGCATGTTCGGGAGTAGATGGAAAAAAAGCTGCCAAAATATATATCAAACTAACACAATACATCATCAAGAAATTTAACCAAAAAGAAAAAGAACAAAAATAGATAAAAACCTAGTTAAGAGTTTGTATTGATTTGAAAAAGTCAAAAAGAGTTCGTAATAATTCACATTAGCCAACGCCTACCAAAAGCATAAAATTGAACAAATTGAACAACTCAAACGCCAGGTCTAAAATAATTTTGGCAGTTAAAACGTATTATAATTATTTAAAGTCATTAAAAAATCAATTAGCAGCGCTTAAAACTGGGCGCGGAAGTGTTCTCTGATATTAATTCCGGCCGTGTTTTAACAAAATTTAAACACGTTACCGTTTCTGCCAGGGTTTATGATTGATTTAAATTGATATGCTTTGCATGGAAAACTTTCTGTTCTGACTGGCTATTTTTTCTAACTAAAAACAAAGTTAACTGATTTGTGTGTGTGTGGGGGGAGGCAGTTTAGAAAATGTGTTTGCTTTAAGGTAAAAGGCAAACCTACCTGTCAACTCCCCCCATGCAATTGATCCACGTCAATAAAGATAAGTTGTGCGGGGGGAGAGGGGGAGATAGCTCAACAGGTTTTTGAGGGATATTTAAAACAACTTGAAATTTAAATGCTATAAATTTAAATGCTATAAAAACTATAAATTTAAATGCTATAAAAATATGAGCCAGATTCTCCAGCAAAAGTGGAACGCCAAAAATTACAGTACCAAAACACAAAACGTACTTTTATAGGGAGAACAAAGTTCCTAAAACGGATGCATTTAAAGTTGTTTTTTTTCTGTCTTTAATGAAAAAAACGCAAAAGCCTTATTGAGGTGCTGCAGACAACATTTTTCGGTATTTCGATTCAAACTTAGAAGTAAAACCTTGGACCTATGTTTTCCCCCAGGCAATAGTCACCCAAACTTAGGACTTGCATGAAATAATTTTGATATTTTTATTGCGCTTCCTTTAAATTCGATAAAATATTTTTCAGTCGGTCAATTTGTTACTTTTTATGAAAACATCAACAAACTGCTTAGGTTTATTAATGTTTTGTAGCATTTTACCGCTAATGCTTAGGGAAGATACCTCAATTGGCGTTTATGTGGGAGGGGATTATGTTCATTAGGTCGTTCCAAATGAATCATAAACATGGATAACATTAGTGCCAGTAATTTGGTTACTTAGCAGTATTTAGACAACCGCGTGTTCAGACACTGTTTTACCCAATATGAATCGAGACAAGGAAGAAATGAATTCAAATTTTGTACGCAAACAAACTTTTTACCAAAAAATTTTTTTTTTGCATGCAAAATTTATTTTTTTGTGTGCATAACGTTGTGCTGGATACGATAATATTGGCTTTTTTCTTTTCACTGATTTTTTTTTTCAAAAACGCTGAAAATTCCTATTTCTTTTGTATAGCGTGTTTATGTATGCCTTGATCAATGTCTGATAATTTAAAAATTCACAAGTTTCAAATAATCCTCATTGAAAAAATTTGCAAAAAATTGAAAGTTTGTTCTTTTTGTTATATCATTTGTGAAAGACAGCTCGAAGACAATTCAGGCCGTTTTCTATGCATTGTAAATGCAAGACCGTCCAACTTGTGGTGCTTTAAAATAACCAAAACTTTGTTAGCTGCGTTCGGTTGCAAACACAACCGATAATTTGTCAGAAAATAAATGTACGAACAAAAAACAACTTTTTGGTTTATGGAGAAAATACTTATCGTACAATTTTCATTTATGGGAAAATGCTTATCATAAAGTTTTCAAGCAATTTTCTGTACGTGTGGAATTGTATGAAATTGTGTGAAAGGAAATTTCCCATTTATGAGAATTGTATGATAAGCATTTTTGGTCAACCCGGGAGTGCAAGGAATTTCCCGCATTGGAGTTCCATGAAAAAAAATCAATTTTAATTGAGTTTACCTGTTGTCAGTGTCCACAAAAGTGAAAAGAAATCGATTGTAATCATTTAAAAGTGAATTATAATATTACTATTTTTCGAGGCGACAAAATCCTTTTTTCAAACATTATAATCGATTTTCTTTCACTTTTGTGGACACTGACAATGAAACTAAATTATAATCGATTTTTTTTTCACTTTACTGAGATGCGACTTTGAACGCATCTAAAGTCTTCTCTACGTTTTAAATTGAAGTTGGTTACGTTGGTTACTTTTTTTTCTACCTAACTTTAATATTTTTGTTACTTTTTATATTACTCAACATTACCCTTCCTCTAGCGTTTACCCATTTGCAACAAACCCCCCTCTCCCCTCTCCCCCCTCCCCCCAACGTAACGTGTTCAGGTGGGGGTCGGGTTCAGGTGGGGGTCGGTTTCAATGCATATTGTTTTGGCGAGAAAAATTTAAATCCATTTTTAATCCAATTTTGTTTTCTGAACGTAACATGGGAATCGATTATATTTGCAACATTATAGACCACAAAAATCCATTAAAATCGATTTGTTTTCACTTTTCTTAAATGCGGGTTGGCATCATTATTAATTTAAATAATGCTTTATAGAGATTTTACTTATATTTTAGGTCACGAAACCGGCGCTCTTTGCAGAGATTATGGCAAAAACCAACTTGAAACTCCAGAGCAGGCCAAGAAAAAGTTTGAAACATTTATGGCTGAAAATTGTTCCATGTTTCACTACATGCAATCATATTTTGGACAGACACAAACTTACAGTACGATTGATAAGTCCAACTTAGCAGTTCGGGTGATGGCTCAAACTTGTCCATTCGTACTGTCGCACGTTGAGACTATTTGAAGTTGTCATTTGATTGAAATACTTACAATACAATACAATACAATTACTTTTTTCCGCCAATGTTTGCAAAGTATGATAGCATGAAAGCAGCACAAAAATGGTCAAAGTAAGTTGATTCAATTTGAATCCGTTGCTAGATGATAATTTAAACAACTCTTTCAAATTAGTAGTGGTGTGTTTTTAACCTTCTTGCATGAAAAATCATTGAAATGACCCGAACTTCTCGTGGTAAAAGGAATTGACTATTTGGTACGTTTACGGTATACGAAAAAATGAGTCGTATGGATCAAATTTGCGCTAAAAGTGTCCATTTTTTTAGTAATCTCAAATCCATCAAAACATCAGTCTTGACAAACAATTGAGCATAAAAAGAGAGAAAGAATTCAGTAGGGGTAGGGGGCACAGAGAAAACTATTTTCCTCAAAAATGACATATATACATGAGGATCCCCAAAAAACCGCTATAGCAAACTACCAATTTTTTTTTTCCGTCGGCCAATTCTGATTCTTTTTTCGACCAGTTCTGAGAGAAGCGAGCAAAATTTAAAGCTGACGAGAGGCGACGTTTTTGGGTTTTTTTTTATAAAAATTCGTATATGAATTCACATATTTACGTTGTTTCTCTCAGAACTGGACGCGTTTAGAAAAAATTGAGAAACTTTTCTAAACGCGACCAGTTCTGAGATAAACGAGCAAAATTTATGTTTTCTATCAAAAATTTTTTAAAAGGGATCCCCAAATGTCGCTTTTGTCAGCTTGAAAGTGGATTCTGGTTCAAAATTTTTTGCAGAGGCGAAGGTGACCCCAAACCACTTGCGATACAAAACAGGAAAAAAATTGAAAATGTAAAAAAAAAAAATATATCAAATCTAATTTTTAAATTGAAAAAAACATGCCAAGACAATGGAATGTGAAATCAGTAAAAGCAAAAATTAGTTTTGCAGAAAACCTTTACAACCAGGGGCGGATTTAGGGGGGCGGCCGGACGCCCCCCCCTCTTTTTAAGAAATCCACTTTTGGCTTACCGACCCTAAAATTTTTCTAAAGGCGACTTCGGCGCCAATATTAAAAAATTTTGAGGGGGAGCGCGCGCCAAAAAAAAACGCAATTTTTTGGTCAAAATTTTCCAAAAAGTGCCTAAAAACGCCTTTTTTGACTTTTTTCAAAAATTTGCCTGCGGCGCAGAAAATTTTTGCCAAAATAGGGGCAAAACAGTGCTCTTTGGGAGAGCTCAAAAATCAATTTGGTCGACCTAAAAAAAAGTCGTCAAAATTTTCGATTTCTTTTTGAAAATCCGCCCCCCCCCCCTCGAGAAAATCCTAGATCCGCCCCTGCTTACAACCAAAAAAATCAACAAACTTTAAGTTAAAAAGTGTACTCGCCCTCAACGTGCAGACAGGCACATACAGTTTTTTTTCAACCGTCGAAAGACTCAAAACAAGTCAATATGATATTAGACAAACCTATCAAGCCGACAAAAAAATGAAAAAAAGGCAAAAAAGCCAAAAAAAAAATTGCTGTCATAAAAAACTTACACAGGAATTTGAATGAAGATTTTTAGCATTTTGTGCAAGATGGCAAGCTTAAAAATTGTGTTTTCCTTGAAATAAGTCGAAAGTAGTTCAGTCTGCCAATAAAAAAGGTCAAAACCATTTGGGCAGAATTAAGTTTTTGAAAAAAAAAGAAATCATAAAAAGTCGAGTTTAGTAAAGTTACAAGCCCTAGAGACAAATCAAGAAACAAAAAACGACTACAAGGCATAAAAAAACTACAAAAATACAACGATTCTACAATATGACAATTATGCCGACAAATAAAGTGTTGACAAATTTTTTGTGAAACGGAACGGATTGTTTCTCGTTTAAAAAAAAACTGTTATATTCGAATCCAGAACCTTTGCCGTCCCTGGCGTATTCGTTACCTCCAGACCAAATGTGCCGGAAACACAAAAAAAAGAACTAATTAGGAACTGCAAAAAATTCACCTCTTGAAATTTTGACAATTTTGTGCTGAACGTTTTTTTTGGGCAAAAAAGTCTACTATCCCATTACAATAACCTTGCTATCGCAAGGGTAAAAAAAGAACGCTAAAACGTTGCCAAGTCTGAATTTTTTTCTGAATGCAACCAGTTCTGAGAGAAACGAGCACAAATTATGATTTCATTAAAAAAGTTCTTAAAATAACATAAAATTAACCGAAACGATTTGATTAACGTAATCGAGAGGGACCTAGTGCGGTTTCATTCGCTTGCTTACAGTTCCGAATATGCTTAGAGACAGGAGTGTATGATTTAGGGGGGACTAGAAGCAGACGAACATTCCCCCTCCCCTCCTCCCCCCCCCCCCCCCCCCCCCCTAAGAGATTCGACCCCCTCACCAACCAAAGGATACTCCTTTTGGATTTTTTTCTAAGTGCGGTCTACATTTCAGTAGTGAAGAGCGAGTACTTTGAAAATAAATTATTCAACCTAAATTTTTTAAAAAATCGACCTCTTTACCTCTAAAAAATCCTAGATTCGCTCATGGCTAGGGATATCTTAGTTTATGATACGATCTTAGTAATTTCCTTCAAGAGGAGTATTTTTTGAAGTTTTTAATTGTGTTTATTTGATTAGATTGAGTTTTTGAGCTGTTTTTATGCAATCTTTACTCATGATTTCTTGAAATAATAAAACATTGGTTGTAAGAAAGTTTTTCATCTAAAATAAACACTAGAAAATGCTTTAACTAATACGCTTTTTGCAAGAATATTACCAAATGAGCAGATCAGTCAAAAATTACGTCAACTTTTGGTTTAAAAACATAGGGAAAGTCTGAGAACAGCAGATAATTTTTAAAGGTTTCTTTTTATGGCATTTATGTTTTAAAGGTTTTTGTTTAAAAATTTAGGGAAAGAATTTGGCGAGCAAAAATAACCTAGATCTAAATTTTGCGCTGGTTGAATTATGAAAAATATCTCTGCTCAAAATCAACATTTGGTACTTTTTTGGCTCAAAAAGCAAATTTTGAACTAAAGTTTCAATTTTAATCTGAATAAAACTCCCACTGACAGAACTTCTTGATGTGTTTCGATTTTGCATGGGAAACATCTAGAAAAACCTAGATCCGCCTTGGCTAGAGATATCTTAACTTTTTTGTACGATCTTAGTAATTTCAATCGAGAGGTGTTTTTTTGAAGTGTTTAATAGTGATTTTTTATTAGATTGTATTTTTGAGCTGTTTTTATGCAATATATACTGAAAACTTGTGTGATTCTTGTGATTCTTGAAAACGCTGACGCGTTGGTTGTAAAAAAAAATTTTCATTTAAAACAAGCACCAGGAAAAACTGTAAATGCTGCGCTGTTTGCAACAAGAGGGCAAAATGAGCAGATCAGCCAAAAATACGTTTTTTTTTGTTTAAAAAAGATGAGGGAAGTCTGAGAACAGCAGATATGTTTTAAGAGGTTTCTTTTTCTGGCACTTATTTTAATGCAATAAAAAATTTTTTAAAATTCAGACCAGCTCAGGAGCCCACAAACCAAAAATCAGGAGCTCAAAAAGCAAAAATGGCTGCCTGAGACTAAAGCTCACTTCTGTTTCCGATTTCCAAAACCAAATTTTTTTGTCAAATTGGTTGTCAAAAACACAAAATGACTTTCCTTTTTTTCAAACTTTTTTTCGCGGTTTAGATCTCCCAGACAAAAGTATCCGTTTTGCTTTAAATTTCTAATTCCCCAGCTTAACGAAAAGAGCGAACACGATTGTTTCATGGTGAATAATTTCATGCAATTTATGGCTTCAAAATTGAGCGAGCAAAATTGAATTAACACTTTTTTTTGCGCTAATTGAATTTTGAAAATGATCTCTGTTCAAAAAAATACTTGTTTTTTAATCGGTGAAACATGTTATTCAAAACTCAAAGAGCAAATTTTAAACTAAATTTTCATAGTGACAAAACCTCTTGATGTGTTTCAATTCTGCACGGAACACATCATCTAAGTAGCTCAATCCGAGTTTTGAATTGGAAAACAAAGAATTTTTTACGAGATCAACTATCCGATTCTTTTTTGACACTTAAACAAATAACCTCAGCAAACATCTTATAACATATGATTACGAATCGAAATTTAAAAAAAAATCTTAGATCCAATTTTTAGCCGAAAAAAACTGGATAGATAAGGAAATTTCAAATAATGCTAGTCAAAAAACACAATCAGTATGCTGAATACCTCAAAGCGGAATATGAAAACATAAGAGCAGTAAAAACGAAAATTATAAATAATTTACAAAATATGATCAACGCAAAAAATTCATAATCTCAGAAGAAGTTGAAAGTAAAAAAACTAAAAATAGCATAAACGTAATAACCTTTGAAATTTTTCAGCACTTTAAAATAAACTGCGAGTCAATCCTAAAAATCAGTGCAGCTAAGTCGAGACGATATGAGTTTTTAATGACTTCTTTGCAAATATCGGACAGCTGCAAAGGTTAAAGGAAGTCAAATTTTTCAACAAAATCGTTCTGGTCAAAGATTCTATATTTTTTTAAGTAATATTAACCGACCAGCTCAAATATGAGCCATACTGGGTTGAAAAAAAATTTAATTGCTTAAATGACGTGGATTTATTTGGCGCACTTTACATTCGAATCGTTGGCATGCAAGAAAATATAACAATTTTTAAGGAGTTTAATTTAATTAGATTTGAGTTTTGGTGCTTTTTGTTCAATATTTGGTCAAGCTTTGAAAAATAGGCCAATAGAAGAAGATATAGTTGGTAATTGAAAAAAAATAAATGGAAATATAGCAGACGAAATATAAAAACGAAACCTCGAATCGGGAAAACTTTTGTCCAAAAAAATATAAATACTATCCAATAAGAACTCGGTAGTTGTACTTATTTTTCTAAGAAATTGAGCATGTCAGCTTCAAAAAGAGATTTTCTGCTCATACATCTTAGTTTTATACAGAAAATGGTTTACGGGAAAGCAAATTTAGTTCCTCTTAGCAAGTAAACTTGCAA